GCGAGGCAATTGCTAGACAATGGAATCAACCTAATTAGGCAGCGACATGCTTGTAGCTTGCACGTGTCAGGGGCCATGCCCCCCAGACTCCCCAGAGATGATCCGAATCCAGTATTTGAACCTGCCAGAAGTTGTGTTAATTTGTCCAACGCCCTTGCTGATTGCCAGAGCCAAACAAGACGGGTGGCACGCTGCCTGTCCTTTCTGCGCGCGGTGCGGTAGGATGGGTCACCACGGTGCTGTCCGGGAAAGTGCTGGTGCGGCGGGCGGAAGAAGCCTTCGCAGGCACCTGGGAGGACGACGAAGGTACTGAGGCGGCGGAGGGGGGGGGGGCGGGGGCGACGCGAAGGTACTGAGGCGGGGGGGGGGGGGGCGAAGCCTCTTTTTGGAGAGCCCCCCCAAGGTGAAACCAGCATGGTTCACAAGAGTGCACAGGGAAATACTTGCTCCACTTTCCAGCCCCTTGGTTTGAGAGTTGCTGCAGATTTGTTTATTTCGGCGATTGACATCAAGAGCCTACGCAGGCTTTGTGTCCAGACACCAGAACTGATACTCCTAGTCAAGCTCTCCGCGGCTTGAGACGCTTGATTGCGCGCAACCACACGGCCATTGAGGAAAAGCGTGGATTCAAGATCAACTCACCAATTCTGTGCCCGCTTCGCTCCATAGTGAACTTGCGAGATCCGACCTTGAATCATATCGCCATTGCCTTTCGGCCAGCCCCAAATCGGACGCAAAGCCAGGTTCAAGCGTTCGCATCCAAAGTTTGTGTGCTGCTGACGGGACATTTTTATTGAAAGGCCACTGACCCTGGGCATTTTCTTTTTTTGGGTGGGGGGAGGAAGGCAGTGCAAGAAGGATAGATGTTAACTAACTGCCGTTTGCACGCTGCACGCAAAACCTACGGCTAAAACAACACGACGGCCAGGTCATCATTGAAGGCTCCACGATGCGTGGCCTTGGGACTTCTGTGCCCTTTGAGGTGTCGGGCGTGCGCATGTGCTGCTTTAGGACGGGATCACGCTTGTGCCAAGGATTCGGTTCTGGCTTTGCAATTTTCGGATGAAAGTGATGGGCGGGCATTGGCCATTGCATTGTTTGGGACTGGCATTATCGCCCGCTTTGTGCGGGGGCAACAACGAAGGATGGACGGGGACACCTTCAATGGGCGTCTCCTGAGCGATGGCCGCATCCTTTGGAGCGATGGTGCCATGTGGCAGCGCAAAGTTCAGCCAGGACCGACGAGTTGCATTTGTGAGTTCTACATGCAGGACGTATCAATGTCTATGTGTGTGGGCGTGTGGGTGTGGCTGTGCAACCCTTCTTTTGTTGTTGGTGCATGTAAGCACTTGTCTGGAACCAGGTGGCCAGGTAGTTTTGCCCACAACTAGCCATGTGCTGCTTGCCAAAATGCGTATCGCTGCTCCGCAGCTACTTCTAGCGCACACCTAGCTAGATAGCCCTCTACAGGCCTTTTAGAATGTGCTTTTTTTTTTTGGGGGGGGGGTATGTTGCTCCCAAAGCTCTCGAAAATGCACCCTCATTTCGCAGGCCGCTTAAATCTAGGCAGGGACAATGATGACTTCACCACCCCACGCCAAACAAGAAGTTCGGCTAGCCATTTCAGTCTAACTGTCCATGAGACCCCGTGTTTTCGTCCTATTGCCATGTTCTGTTTGTTCAAGGTTTCCAGTCGGATGCGGGGGTATGTAGTTTGAGAAATCAACTTTTTGTCGGTGGCCCCACAAATAAAAGGGATATGCACCAACACAACTTATCAAGCATAGGCAAAAACGCACCAGGCATCGAACACAACTTATGAATGTTGGACCCTCTTTTCAGCACACCACACCCCCCCTAGGAGTGGAACCAGTCAGTTGGACCCTCTTTTGGGATGGTCCTGGGGGTCTGGGAGGGGACAGTGCTTCCTTTAGTATTGCCAATTCTACTATAGTACTGCCAAGGCTGACTCTCAGATTCCCAATGCTTACTTTAGTAATTATTCCCAATTCTACTTAGTATTGCCAAGGCTGACTCTCAGATTCCCAGTCAACTTTAGTATTATTCCCAATTCTACTTTAGTATTACCAAGGCTGACTCTTCAGATTCCCAGTGCTTACGTTAGTATTGCCAATTCTACTTTAGCATTGCCAAGTACATTTTTTTTAGCAACCCCGAACAAGGTTGGACAGTAAAGAGGACCCCGAAACAGTCACATTAAAGAGGATCAGGCCCCTTGTGGGCAATCCCCTTTGTGTTTGTTTGCCCTTACTTTTTATAAAGAAGTTATCTTGATTTTGATGGTTTGGGGACTACTTCAAAAAAGCTAATGTTTGCCCGGAGTTGTTTGCCCATTGTTTGTCCGACTGGTTTGGGCCAGCCGTTCTTGCCCGGATGTTTCCCGGCATTTTTGCGGCAAACACAATGCCACGATTGAGGACCCCAAAACAGTCACAAGATCCAAAAGATGCGCAAAGATGCTATACTAGAGGGTACTATTAATAGAGGAGTGTAACTTTAGGCATCAATAACAATCCTCATGGCTTTTCCATAGCAACTGTAAAGCAGGAAGAAAGAAAAGAAGGAAGGATGAAGGAAGGAAGGAAGGAAGGAAGGAAGGAAGGAAGGAAGGAAGGGCGCCCTGATGCGATTGTTTCTGCTTGCTGCGCTGGAAAAGGCTGTGCTCCTCCCAACCCCCCCCCCCCAAAAAAAAAAAAAAAAAACTAAATCCACACGAATCTAAACCCCCCTTAAATCCACTCTAAACCTTTTATGTACTGGGGCTGGTTTGTTGGTTGGTTGGTTGGTTGGTTGGTTGGTTGGTTGGTTGGTTGGTTGGTTGGTTGGTTGGTTGGTTCCCGCATGTCTCGCATCACCGGCCTCACTTGGGCCTACAAACCACCATAACTAGCCCAAGACTCTCTAAAGTGACCCTAAAGCCTCCTGGATACAAGTGAGGCCAGTGATGCTGGGATGCGGCCAGCCACCCCCGAACAGGTTTTCAGCTCCAGCCAACCTGTTCCGGGTGTTTCTGGGGATGTTGCCAGCCTTAAGACAACAAGCGCTAGGAAAACAGCCCTAGGAAACAAACCGGTAGAGGTGCCCAGTCTTGTTACTTCTTAGCGTGCGTTGCAGCAAAAATTGTGTCCCTTTTCCATGATGAAAAAGTTGTTTCTTTATTATTAGAATTACGTTTTGTTGCTTAATCCACCTTTGTTGGATGCCTCAGGCTCACTCCAAATAAAGGACCACTTGAGGCGTATAGGCTTTCACGTGCTACCCCCCTTGCTGGTGTTGGCAGCCTTTCGTCCGAACTAAGATTTTGATCTGACAGCAGCACTTGGAGAGCAATGAGGCTTTTCACTCGTTTCGCTTTGTTGAGGACGTCCATTTTACTTTGTTGTGTTGGCATTGCACTGGCATGTGAATTGGGGCGCGAGGCCAGGAAATAGGAACGACTTCAGGGGAGCCCTTGAATTGAACTTCATTTGAGGAGGGGCTTCGGTATGCAACAAGGGAACTAAGCAATGCATTCATAGAACCACAAGTTGTCCATGCCCCAGACAAGCATGCTTTGCCTGAAGGCATTTTCTGAATCGATGCAGGCTGCCTGCAATCCAATTGGGGGCCCGCCACTCATAGATTGGCACTCTGTTTGTTGTGTGTGCCGGCGTGGCTGGCTTTGTGGGTGTGTCAGGGCCATGGGGGAGTCAGTCGGATCCTGTGTTTCCCATCGGCAAGGAGCCTTGGTCATCAGTGAGGGGGAAGCTGCGCCAAAGAAGCGCATCCCGCAAGATGCCGTGGTTGCTGTCAGGGCCTCAGCAGAGCACTGGTCCCCTGTTTTTTTGGGTCATGTGTCGTAAAGAGCAGCAGGACAGCCTAGTCATGGCCCATGCTGAGTTAGCATGATCAATAGTTTTGCAGCTACATCTGCAAATCTCAGCTTAAGGTACCAGGGAAAAATGATTTGCCCATGGGCAAGCTTCCAAAGCGGCCTGCGCACCTTATCAAACGGTCAGTGTCCTTAGACATTGGTTCCTCTTCTTGAGGGAGAACGCCCTCTTCTGGTTAGTTTGGAAACCCAGCATAAAGTTAAATTTCATCCTTTTTGAGACACCCGCCCTTCTTTTTGCCTTTTACAGCATCACTTCAACGGACACTCATGTGCCAAGGCTGGGTTGTTCAGACCGGTGATGCGTTTGTCGCATGGCTGTGGGTCAACACCAATGTGCACCTCCATTTCAGTCTATTTTCGTGGGGGTTGGGACGTTCACTGGGGGTACGATTTGGATTTTGAAAAGCCCATGGCCATCCATGGCCACATGTTGACTGAGGCGAAGGGCAAGGCGCGGCCCAAAGAGGGCCTACCCCCACGGGGCGCAGATGGGCGAAGGCCGCTGCCGGGACGGACGCTCTCAGCAACTGCCACTTCGGCTCGGGCAGAGGAGGTGAAGAGCGCCTAAGAAACCCGTAAGTCAGGTTTCATTTTGGTGGTTTGGAGGGTATTTGCCAGTCTCTGGTTACTCCCCAACAGAACTGGCCTCAAATGGAGACTGTAAGAATTCACTTCTCTTTGGGGTTCTGTGAGGATTTGCAGGGAGGCATTTGCATCGGTCGCTGACCTTAGCGTCGGGAAGAAGGATGGACAAGAATTCCTCTGGCATTTGAGCACACGGTTCAGATGGTTTGCTTGGAATTTTCTGCGGGGCCGCGCTGCTGCTGACATGCTTCCCATGTTGAATCTGCTTGTTGCTGTGTGCGAAGTGCGGCAGCGCGATGGAAGCAAGCCACAATATGTTGCAAGTGGCATGGTTGACGTAGACAGTGATAACTGGAAAAGCACACAAGTGGGTAAAATTGAAAAGGGCCACAACCAACAGCCACCGTTTTTCAAGTCTCACACCGCTCCACAACGCAGCACCCGTGCAGAAGGCACCAAAATCCACAAGAAGAGACGGTGCAGGCTCGTGTGCCCAGCATGAGCTTTTCAACCGATGTTTGAGCTGCTCAAACCCATGCCACTGAGAATAAGAACATGATCTTGGCAGGCATTTCTCTCTCGCTGTCGCCGGCAGTCAGCACAAAAACAACCCCGAGCACCGCCACCGAGCGAGCAGACGAAATGGACATTTTGCCAAGTCTGAATGTCCAATGTGCAGGCCAAGTTGCTTTCGAAAACTCTGCCCTGATTCGCCGAGGAGATCATCGAACCTCGATCTGCAACCATGCCGGCCAAGTGAGAGCATCGCTATGTGAGCTGGCCACTGCATTGGGGAATGTTCACCTGATTGGTAAACGGCCCCGGCTCCGCCACCTTCAAGGTTGACAAGGTTTGGACAAGCCTCCAGAGCTCATCTTTTGGAGGGCCCCCATGATTAAGCTATATTAAGCTGCAGCTTCTGGCCCCTTGCCAGCCAGTTGAACAGGGAACAGTAACCTGGAGAACCTGCCTTCTTGGCCCTTACTGGGCAATAAGACGTTTTATGACGACGGCACTTGTTTGTTGAGGCAAAAGGGTCCCTGATCAATCGCCGGGGGGGTTCTGTTAATGAGGGGGACTGGCCTCCAAAGAGGCTCCCTTTCGTGAGCTTAAGCTTGTCATGTATAGCATTTTGGGGGAAGCAAAGGTTTTGAGGGACTGGAGATGAAGCCCAGGAGTGGATCGCCGATGCGGTTGATGTGTTTGAGACCCTTCTGCTGCCACTGGAACCCATCAGCGAGGCTCATGCCAGGCAGCAGTGACGCGACTGCACGCTCCCGCTAAAATGGAAACGCCCCGGTAGGATCTGCGGAACTCAAAGAGAGGACAAGGCTTGGAGATACGAAAGCCGGCTTTCTTACAAAGCTTTCAGATCCTGAAAACAGTTGCCACTGCCCCGAAAGGGTCGTTCCTGGCAGCCTCAAAAGTTTGGCACCCTAGATTTTCAAATTGCCTGAGGTACAAGCAGCTGCTGCTGCTGGTGCACCCAGACAAAAACCGCAACCCGGGAGCCACAGACGCCTTCCGAGCCTCAGCTACGGTTGAGCTACTTAGGCTTAGACTTGATCACTTGCTGAGTTTGTCAGTTATAGCCGATTGGAGCTGCTGAGGGTTTGAGAGCCATTGTCGCGACTGGCGAATGGTGTCGTAAGGGCAGTCCAAAGCAACATCATGCATCGCTTTGCCGTGTCCGTGTTGCATTATCCTTGTTGGTTTTCTGAATGCTGGCTAAATGGGCCGCATTTTCATTTGGCGCAGACAGTTTGGGCGAGTTGCACTTGCAGGCAAGCTGTTCGACGCCCTGGCGGTGATTGTTGATCCTGCGTTGCGACTGGGATGGGGTCGGTGGCGGTCTGCTGACTGGGGGAAGGTTGACGGAAAAGGGAGCTTGTCAAAGGTGTTGCGTGATGTCGAAGCACAAGACTTAAAGGTGTTCAAAGTTCAAAGCTTGGTCCTGTACAGTGAGGTTGTTTGGGAAACGGCCTTTGGCCATGGGTTGGCAATTCGCCTGGAGCCATCGGTATGCAAGAGGCGCACGGACGAAAACGGAAAGTCGGCCGAGTCGGCTGAGGCAGAACCGGGCCCTCAGGGCAAAGGGCGGCACCTCGAAACCCGGCGGCGATGGCCCGGGCTTCGGCTTCCCAGGCTTCGCTGGCTTCGGCTTCGGCTTCTTCGCGGCTGGGATGAAGATGGGGGGACAAACTAACCGCGGCAAACCTCAATGACGGACTGGTCAAAACTGGACCGCCAATGTGTAATTCGGACTTTGGGGCATGCCGTGCACGCGTAAGACACTGCTTGAGTCGAGGTGAGGCATGCTGAGGGACTAGGGTATGCTATATCAGGCAACATGAAGTGAAGCCTTCCATAGCCGCCGTAGCCCCACATGCAAATTGCTGCGAAAGCGACATTTTGCTGTAGACGCATGCAACAAATTTGTTCATGACCACATGTAGCACGTTGCCTGAGTTCAAGCGGCTGAGGATGACGCCTTTTCGCTATGGAAGGGCGGAACACTGCAAGCCGATGCTGAGGAAGAAAACGCCGATACACGTCAAAGCCAATCAGGTCCAAGGTGTTGTCGCAAACCAAGATTGCGAAATCAGAAACCACACCGATACTCAACCCGATGCCCAACCGATACTCAACTCATCATGCCGGGTCCAACCAGGCGCCCTGGAGCTGCCAAAATGTACTTTGTGTACCACATTTATACTGGGAAAGCTGCGACTTTCAAGCCGGAGCTGAAGCGACATTCGGGCCGGAGCTGCCAAAGCGTTCTTCGTATGCTACACTTGTACTGAAAGTTGCGAAAATTCCAGCTGGAGCTGCCAAAATGCACTTTGTGTGCTACACTTGTACTGAAAAGTTGGGGCTTTCGAGCTGGATCTGCCAAGAATATATACCGTATGCCACTCTTATACTGAAAAGTCGTGACTTCCGAGCAGGAGCGCCGAGGAAAAGCAAGCGATACTAATCGGTGCCGGGGTGTAAGGTTACGCGGGTCTGGGGCGTTCTTCTTTGGGGCCTGCCTCGCCACCTGGCACGTTGGGCGCCTGGTGCTTCTTCTGAGGATGAATATGGCGGAGTCTTGCTTGCACAAGGCTTCAACCTCTGCATTGCTGCATGTTGGACCGAGTAATGCATTTAGCGCGTGCATGTGACTGTAAGGAGTTGGAGGCTTGGTTGCAGCTGTCTTCTCGCAAGAGAATGTGGACGAGTCGGAAAGGGTTCTTCACGAGCAGTGCGAGCTGCTGGAAAGCATGGGAAGATACGACGGCAGCACAAAAACCTGGATTGACCCGCAGCAGGCGAAGGAACTATGGGACTCAGAACCTTCGCACGCAATGTTGAGCTGACCGGTGGACAAATAATTTTGAACTTGATGGAGCTGTTGTCACCTATCATCGTCTATCGTTCGTGACGTGATTTTAAAACACCAATCAGGGTTGTGTCACACACACACACGCACGAAATTGGGTCGGATCCAGCATTCCATTTGCTGCAGCAAATAAGCGGTGGAACGCACCGTCGAACCCTTGGGACACTGACCCCTCATGGGTGAGTAGCACGATAGCATGTTTGCAACAGCCCTCTGTCTAGCATATCATAGTATGACCTCCCCTCTCAGCTCTCTGCATCGTAACCAAACGGCGAAAAGTCTGGACCAAGCGACTAAGGGAGAAGTCAGAAGTGCAGTCCTTTTCCACCCGGAAGTGCTGTAAACCACTGCCAATAGCGGACCGGAGACCAATAGATCATGATTCAGCTGATTTCACAAATGTACTTGCCAGCATTTGCTGGGTGCTTCAAAAATGGCCGCACTTAAATTTAGTGCACTGAGGACCAGGTAACGTTCGTGGATGTCCGTGATGCAGACGAGTATCAGACAAGTCGCATCGAGGGCGCGCTGAATCTCAACTGGGCTTTGGCGAGCATGGCCTCAAGACTTGAGGACTCCGACGGAGCGCGCGGTGGCGGAAGCTCCTTGCAGCCCTTTGATGGGCTCTCAAACATGGAAGCTGACTTTTGCGCCAAACCGGCGAAAGCACATGCCCAATGCTGACCACGCTGCTCAAGACCAGGTTGCACAGCTGAACAATGGGCGAGAGACCATCTCGCAACCGCACGCGAACCCACACCGCAACCGTTCCAAGACGCACCAAGCCTTGCAAGCCCGAACGGGCGCTAGCTTTGCACTGACTGTTCATCTTAAATCGCGGATAATTCAAGTAGTGACATTTAATTGTTGTTTGCTGTTTGAGTTCCAAATGGCAAATTGTTGCTGGTGTTGTATGGGGCCTTTGTTCAGTTCTTTTCAGGCTCCTGGCCGGAGCAGATTATTTCTAGAAACCCAGAATTAGCTATAATTCTCCATTGACCCAATCTGTTTGGGGCCACTGACCCTAAGCAGACAGCACTGGGACAAAGAGGGAGAACCAGAACAGCACAGCGTGTGCAAAATAGAAGGCAAGTGCTTTCCGTGCCCCCCGCCCTCCACCCGCCATAAACTTTGGGTACGGAGATACTTCGCCGTTTCAGTCGCAGCATGTTGCGGTTGGCATTCAGCTTCAAATTTTGGTGGTCCATGGAACTGATTTCCCTTTTTAGGAGTTCAAAGTCATCGCAGCTGCGCCGGAAAAGCTTGTGGTGGTCTACAGTGACAACGGCTCTCAGTTAAGCCGTTGTGGCCAGGCGGGCCAAAGACCCCTCAGCTTGGGTTGGGGCAAAGGAAGTTTGGCTTGGCCCAGGGATTCATTGACCATCCAGTCGACGGCTAGATCCATCTAATTATCCTAGCGCCCTCAGGCTCGTGGCCTTTTGCATCTAGAGTAGGAGGCTGCTGTAGGGGCGATCCAGGAGATCCGGCAAGTCTAACATAGGAGTGACCCCTGTGACCATGTCCAGCCTCATAACCTTGCCGCGTGCTCCTTAGGATCATGCAGCGTAATGGAATCCTGGAATGCGCTACCCGTCATGCGACAATATACTGGCTAATCACAGCCTTGCCATCAAAACTCAGAGCACGCCACCGATGATTGTTCAAATTGTAGGTGGCGGAGTCCTTGACTTACTCTCTGCGGCAACATCGGGTACGCCGCCTGAGGCCCTTGTACCGTGGCTGGGGGCTGGAGCTGGAAGAGTTGACGGTCGAAGCGCTCAAATTAGTAATGTCCTGCATCAATGAGACACGTCAAAGGCGAATGACCAGGTGCATGAATCATCATTTGTCCATGCCTTCGCGAGAATTGGAAAGCATTCCCTTCGCCCTTTCCCAACGCGGCATGAAATGTTGTGTTGCCCTTCCGAAAGCTCTTCGGACTGTGACTCGTCCAAGAGATCCCGTCAGGCGTGGACTCAACGCATGGAAGCGTCAAGGCTTTCCAGTACATGGTAGCCGACAGACCTACTTTGCGCGGCAGCAGCTAGGTGGGAGATGACTTCTTTTCGGATGTTTGTGCGGCAAACTTATGTGGTTTGTTGGCAGTCAGCCCACCAGCCAGCCAGCCAGCCAGCCAGCCAGCCAGCCAGCCAGCCAGCCAGCCAGCCAGCCACTCCCCCAATCTCTTGCACGCGTTTGCCTGCATTTGCGATGTCGGGTGGCAGGGGTTGTTGGCTTCAGGGGGGGGCGGGGCGCCCTGCTCAATCGATTCCGCTACCATGTTGCCGCCTTTTTGGCCACCTGCTTCCTCCAGTTTGGACCTGCCCGATTCAGAGACTGCACGCTTCCACTATGGCTACTGATTGGCCTGCCAGGCAACAATGTCGCCAAGCTTGGCGACAGCGTTTTAGAGCTCGACGAAGGGCAGAAGTCTCTGAGCGGAAGCTGATAGGTTCAAAAAGTTGGCCATTTGGTCAGCAAGCTGATTTGCTGCAAGTTAAGTCGTGGGCGCTTGCTGGGGGGTCAAGGGGGGTTTGTTTGATTTGATTTACCCCCAACACGAACAGATCTTGACGGCAGACCCCTTCAAAAGCGCCCTGTTGGTCAGGCAGATCCGCCAGAGCTCTTGCGCAAATCTTTGGAGGCCGGATCAAGCTGCTGGCAACTTGTGGGAAAGGTCGCTGCTCTTTGCTTTGGCCTCTCCTGCAACCTTTCTGAAAAATAGAAACTTGCAGTTTTGCAACTAACATCCGCCAACAAATGAAACGGCTTGAATCAGCGTGTTTTGTGCTCCTAGCGACACACACCCAGGAAGAAAGTTCGGTCCTGCTTACGCTTGGCTGGAGCAGGTGAGGCCAATACTAGAAGTGCCTAAGTCGCCATAAGTTTCGCATCTCTCTCTGATGTGAACAGGTTTTCATTTCCGATTTTGGGGTTTCTTCGCAACCAGGCTTCGCGGCAAGAGCTGGGCGCGATGCGTGGACCAGGGTGCGGGCCTAAAGCAACGAGCCTGGGCCCCTTAAAAGTGAAGGAACGTTTGAGGGGTTCTCCAAATTTCTTGTGGGTCCCGGTGCGCCCGGTTCTATGATGGTCATAAGTCGACCATTTCTTTTGGATGTTTGGAGGCAACAAGTCACGAGCAGTCCACTTTGGCCCTCAGTCCTCTCGGCGTTCCGCAGTCTTTACTTTGGGCCCTGGCTCACTTGACTGCAGGGAACGTAATCATTTGGGAACCAGTGGAAGAGATTCTGACGTGACATTGTCGATATTCCTCGTCAGAGTGTGAGCGCAATTACCAAGTTTCCTCAGGCTTCCCTGAAGGAAGGCGACATGCCTGAAACCAGGTGGTTCAAGATGTGCATTCCCTTCGCTCAGGCCCTGCCGGGCCCGACATTGCGTGTCCGCGCTATGGCCCGACGAGCTGCTGGGCGGCAGCGGATGCATTCGAACCCACCCAACGACCCGACATGAAAGAGAAGTTTGGGCGGAAGTTTACCTTAGGAAGGACATTTCGGCTTCGGGTTCCAAATGCTGAGAGAGGGCAATCCTTTTCATGGGCCAACGGTTTGACCATTTGACCACCTTATCAAGAGGGAAGCGCCCTCACAACCACAACTTGTTTCATGTCCCCAAGCCACTAACTGGGGACAACTCTGGCAAAAACTTCAAAAGCACGTCACGCGGCTGCCAAGGTCCTTTGACACGTTTGCACCAGGCAGACTGCCAGGCCAGGCCGAAACGTGCAGAGGCCTTGCCTCTAACCGTGAGCTATGAAGCAGTTCAACCCCCAGGATAAAACTGGATCTGGCACAGGCGAGTCCCAGTTGCAGAAGACCCTGATCGATTTCCCAGCATGGTCCGTGCGTCAGGCTTTCAAGCACTGAGGTGTACATTGTGCTTCAGCTTGGCAGTTTCAATATGTTTCAATGCATTATAAATTTATGGGCCAACACAGGGCTACTGTAAAGGCTCAGGTGATCCCATCTTTCTGCATCCAGTGAAAGGCAACCTTTGTGAATATGGATACCGGCTGCACACTCTGCGAATTGGCAAGGTCATGATGCACGGACTGCCCGACTAAGGCGCGGCTCTGCTGACTCACCTTCAGACGTGCAGGAGACGCCCAAGGGATGGCAGAATGTGGTAGGTTTGGGTAGGCCCGTGTTGCCAAGTGCTGCAAAGTGTGATGGGTCGCCACGAGCACACAATGCGCCGCGCAGGAGGAAACGCCGCGCCCACCACCCACAAGCTTGGTCCGTGCCTGATGGTTCTAGCGTGTCCCAGGTTTGATGCCATGCGGCCGCGCAAAAGCCTGTCCCATCCCACAGGCCCAGGCCAACTGGTCTTCGCTCCACAGATCCTAAAGTGTCCAAACAGTTCGATTGAAAATTGGGCGATATTGGGCGCTTTCTTCCCCGGCCGGCCCGGCCAAGGCCTTCCGAGCACCCGAGTCCAAACACGTGCCCAACACAGCTCTGCCGGACTCCGAGCCGGCGAGGCTTTAGGGGGATTCGTGCCAAACGTGGCGCCCGGGATGCTGCAAAGTGGCGCGCGGATCAAATGAACGCCAACAATCAAAAAGGAGTGGTATGGCATGGCATGGGTTGAACAAATTCGGACAGTCAACGCTACTGTTTGTGCAGGAGGCATGTTTGGAGAGTCATCATTCCAGTTCACATCACGATGCTTGGCTGAGGCTGGCACCCGGATCCCCGCAGTCAGCGGAGGACGTACTTGCTCCATGCATTCAGCACGCGGGAAAAGGGGCGGATTTGAAAGCAACGAGAAGGTACGGCTGCAAAATTTGGAAATGTGACACACTCCATTGATCCTGAAACAATCTTTGTGTGTTTCCGAGCAGCAGGTGAACATCCTCGCACTGCGCACACGCAACAAACATCAACACACGCTCTTCAGGCGTCCCAGTGCACATTGGCAGCGGTGTTCGCCCTGTTTGCACGGATCCGCCAGTTGCAAGCCGCAGGACTCCTCCAACCCGAGCTCTTGTCCCTTGAGCTCCGTGGGCACCGCGGCAGCATTGTTTCAGCCTTGCCTGGTGTCGGACCCATTTGTTGAGACAGCTGAGCGCGTGAGCGTGTGAGCCGCGAGGGACTTCAATGTCGCAGCTTTCTCGGAGTAGCTCAGCGACTTCGGCAGATGCTGCAATAGCAGCTGCTATGCAAAACCAGGCGCAGGGGGTGGTTTCGGTCGACGCACGGGAAGTTCCAGTAGGTAGCCTTACGATAGAATGTGGTGCCACACGAAAGGATGCCCAGGCACAAATATCAAACAAAGTATGGAGTGCCTGCTGCGCAGGAGCCGATGACTCAATGTTTCATCACGAAAGGGAGAAGGGTGTACACGCTGGCGTCATGGCTGTGCCAAAGCTTGTCATTACAGTCCCGTGTCGCAACTTGAGAAATGGCTACAACAGGTTGGCGCTACAGGATCTTACCAACCCCACCCACTCCCCCCCCCCACCACCCCCCATTTCCCATATTGTGGGGAGCAAAACCCTCCGCAGAACCAACATGGCTCCATGTTGCTTCTCTTTTCCCAGGTCATGGCTTCGGGACAGCTTTAGTTAAACTTTAGTTGCACTACGACCTGCGGCTTGGCAGCGGGACAGGACATGCCGCCGCAGCCCTTGCTTTGGCCTTTGCCAAGCCGAAGAGGTGACTGGGCGGAATCTGAGGCGGGTGCGAGAGATGTGAGAGAGATGATGTTGGTTGCTGGTTGTTTGTTGTTTGTGGGGCTGTTGGCGTTGTTGGCGTTGTTGGCGTTGTTGGCGTTGTTGGCGTTGTTGGCGTGTTTTGGCGTTTTGTTTTGTTTTGTTTGCTTCTTTGTGTGAGTTTGATTGCTCGCACGCCTGTTTCGACAGGTGGGTTGTTTATTGGTTGGCGGTTGGTTGGTTGGTTTGCTTGCTTCTTTGCTTGATTGTTTGCGTGTTGTTCTTGTGGGGTCAGCTGGTATCAGTGCTGTGTTTGAAGCGCTTGTTTGTGTGTGTGTGTGTGTGGGTGTTCTTCTTTTCTTATTCTGCTTCTTCCATTATTTTTGTGTTTGGCGTGTGCTTTGCGTTAGTACGGGAGAAGCACTGTTTGTTTTTCGCCTGGCCTGACAGGCAAGACGAGCCAAATCGCTGCCGGCAAGGCTAGGGTGAACCAAGGTTGCGTCAGCAAATCACCAAAACACTAAGATATCGACGTAGGCACTGGCCTGTCATGAGCATGCTAAAAGTGGCAGGGGCACAGGATCTAATCCCAAACGCTGGCCTAGAAGAGGCTTGCTTTAAGTTTGCGTTTTGGCAGGGCAGCGTGCCTTCCCCATTCGAGTTGGGAAAAAATGGTGCATTTGTGTGCAGAAAGGGGCTCGTTTCACTTGTCCAGGTTGGCTGGTTTGACGGCATTAAACGCATGCTGTTGCGTTGTCTTAGAGCTTTCCATCTTGACATTCCTGGCTTGGCAAGCTGCGGGTGCCACAGTTTGCAGAGCACTTGTGCATAGCAAGGGAGGAGGTTTGGTTCACTCACAAAAAGTTAGTTGGCTCGCGTGCAGTTTATTTCGAGTTGCCCCTTGTCAAATATGTGATGCAGGCAACATTGCGATTGCCATGAACAACCCATAAATTTGCCCTTTCCTGGGTGTTGGCCGCAAACATGTCAAATGCTTCACCGCGAATTGTATTTTCTTGCTTGCAGAAGTAGAGTACCTTCCAAAAAATGAAAATGTGGGCTCAATCCATTCGTTCAAGTTTGACAATTACTCGGCGTTTGATTTGTTCGGCATCCGGGGACGGCATCAGGGGCTGCCAAAAACCTGCCCCTTGAGGTTGTTCAAGCGCATGTTGCTTTTCAAACAGTTTGCTGCACTCGGGCAGCGCACCTGAGTGTACTCAACATGGCGTGCGGCAACGCGGGTATTGCATCGTGTTGCACTCATGCAAAATGTGTGGTGTTTTGCGCTTCCGGTACGTGCGAGCGGCCTTTGCCAGGGTTGAAGCCAATCCTTGTTTGCTTGTGCGTGGTGTGCTGAATGATGCACGGCAGGAGCGCTCGCTCTGGCCGCAGCATCTCTCCTCCTCCAAAGCTTGCAAGTGCTGGGCAGCCCAGTCCAATCACACCTGCTTGCGGGAGGCACTT